CTCTTTTTTCTATTGTTTTCTCCCACTCCCATGCATTACCCTTGTGATCATAGTTGATTTACGCATGATAAGCATCAATATGAATCTTCAAATAAGAATGAGAGGAATAAGATTTAGACAGAAGGAAAATATTCAGCGATTGACCATCATTAATATTTTTAGCACTTGTATTAGCATTATCGTTTAAATCATAGTCGTTAAAAGTAATACTGCGATCTCTTTTATAATCTGTAAACACTATTCCTCCCACGATGACAATAACCCTATTACTGTTGTTCTAAATATCACCATCATTATCATGGCATCACCATCACCATCATTATCATCGCATCACCATCACCATCTTCATCATCGTTATGATTTTCAATATCCTTTGCATTACTAATATTGTCATTAATATCAGTGTTATCTTTATTAGTAATAGTAATAGTTTTATTATTGGTAACAGTACTGCTACTACTGTCATTATTATTATTATTATCATTATGATTTTTATGACAGTGTTACAGTTATTATAATTTCTTTCATTATCATCGCTATTTCCATTACATCATTATCAATATAACCTGTTGTCGTTGTACTCTAATGGTATTAGTATTAGTATCTATTTTGTTATAGCAATTATGATTATTATTACTGATATTGCTGTGATAATTATTATTACTATTATGCTATAATCCTTTTTCATTATTTTCATTCTTATTATTATTTAATGTGGGACAAATATTGAAGAAATGGCCACTAAATGGTTGCAAAAAGTAGCGAGTTGGGGAGAAATGCCAAATGTTATAGAAAAAATGAAGAACCGTGTCTGCATTTACATATTCAGCAGGAATCATCGGTGACAACTCTTACATATTTTGACTTTAGTAAAATAGATATCAGCCTATAATTGGCCAGTGTCCAACATCATCTAATGGATGGTTGTCGAGGAATATGTGTGAGATGAACGAAAGCAGTTGTATGAATTCGTGAGCATACGAATGCAACTTATCGTATCTTACTTATCTTAAATCTTACGAAATGAAAGATGAGTTCTGTTTGCGATCGAGGGACATTTCTGCTGACGCCTCGAACCCAAATTTCGTCAAATGAATGAAGACTCGCAAACGAGAGTGGTAACACCTGTAAATAAACTATATGGCTTCTTGGTATTTTTTGAAAACGTATTCTAGTGGCACTGATGATTAGGGAGTCTGTGAAGAGTTTTGATAACACCGATAACTTCAGTGAGTATGCCAGATAAGACAAGTAGGTAGATAGATAGAAGGAAAATGAGAGAGGGAGAGATCCCCATAATTAAACATACAGACCCTTCCACTTTTTTTAAATATAGATTTTTTTTCTTTTTTACTGGATATTTCAGGAAAACAGATTTTTGAAGGAACCAAGAAAGCGCTGATTTAAAAATGCTGGTAACTAAATGTTCGTTTCTAAAAAACTGGACACATTTCAGTGCAATGGCAGGTATACAGTAACGTTTAATGACATTTTACTCTGGGTGAAAGTACAGACACAAGAAATAGATGTATGTAAAGTTACATACGTGAGATTAATAAAAGTTTTGTAAAAGCTAAATTTTAGGTATAGTAAAATTCTTTCATATGGTAATGAAAATCAAAACGGAGCAGGAAAGTGGAAGGAAGGAAAGAGGTTAAATTGTTATATTGTCTTAGTGTTGTTTTCGTTCCACTTTTCCCACTTCAGATAAGAAACACGAATTCATAGAAGAGAAGCATAGGTCTGTTTGCAATGAGATTCGATTTAGTCTAATCATGGTTGCAGAGTCTTGGGACTTGCAACATGGAACGAACTGCACGACCTCCGTTTTACAGTACCTTAATGTTTATCTTATAATATGAAAGGTTTGTTGTCACTGTAGTTGACACTGTCATAAAATGAATAAATGCTACTTGTAGTCCGGAATGAAAACAAACCAGAGTATAGCTACCTACGTGAGAAATGCTACTACTGTTGCCCTGTGACAGCCGGGTCCTGTGCTAACGTCTAGTGGAAGGCTATCTTGTTTTGGTATGAAATGGATTGTTGTAATTCACGGTTATCAGGACATCTTGTATTTCATTGTATTCTGTTCAACTGAAACTTGTTTTCCTTTTTTTACAAATTTTCTTTTGTATGATATCGCTTTATATATTGCGTTAATATTCATTCACAGATTTTAAAACGAATATCCTTTAAACATAATTATTGTAAAAACATATATCATAGCAACATACAAAAGTTGTATGTTAATCTATATTTGCCTTTGAAAACGTACTTCGGTTGCGTGAAAACTGTTACTTGAACAGAAAATTATGTGGAATTAATGATAGATTTTTTTTTTTTTTTTTTTTTTTTTTTTTGTCTAACAGGAATAATTATGAAATTTAGTGTTAATCGTTGACACGGAATGTTAACTACTTTAGAGGTGATTGTAATAATGAATCTACAAAAAGCATCAGAGATTAAAACTAAAACTGTACTAAAAAAGCCTCTGATAAGATCCCTGAGAGAGAGAGAGAGAGAGAGAGAGAGAGAGAGAGAGAGAGAGAGAGAGAGAGAGAGAGAGAGAGAGAGAGAGAGAGAGAGAGAGAGAGAGAGAGAGAGAGAGAATACTGTGAGAGTGTTAATGAGATTTTGATAATTAGGCTTAGTATCCCCAGCCTGGAAAGAAAGAAAGAAAGAAAAAATCCGACTATAAACGAGGAAACATTTTTTTTTTATCCTAATTCAAGTTAAAATCATGATTATATATTTGCGAAAATAGCGACGTGATTAACCTAAACATCTGTTGCCTCATCATATGAATTGTGAACTTGTACATGTGTTTGTCAGTCACGTATTTTGACGCCATTGTGATTTTTATTTATTTATTTTTATTTATTATGCCTATTCAATGAATTATCACATTTTTTAGGGAAAGGGAGAGAGAGAAAGAAATGGAGAGAGAACAAGTACTGTGACAGAATAAATGAGGGAGAAAGAGAGTGAATGAGAGTGCGAGAGAGAGAGAGGGTGGGGAAGGGGAAAAAAAAAGATAAAAAGAAGAAAAGGGAGAACTAGGAAAATATGGAAAAGTAGACCTAATAAAGAGGAAAAGCGAAAGAGAGAATAAAAATGATTAACAAGAAGAGAGAGAGGGAATATAGCAAAAGGTAAGATAAGAGATGAAAGAGAAGAAAAGCGTGACAAGAAAAAAAAAACAGAAAGGGATCGGAAGGAAGTGAGGCGAAAGGGGAAGCAAGAGTAGTAGAAAAGAGAGGGAAGCGAAAAGGAGGAAAACGAGGCAAACGAAAAGGTAAAGATAGAAGTGTAGGAGAGAGAGAAGAAGAAAGAAGAGAAGAAGAAGAGACAAGAAAAAAGAAAGAGGCCATGAAATAGAAAAGGGAGGAAGAGAAAAGAGAATAAAGAAAATAAACATAGGATAATCCCGAGTCTTTGTTCGTGAAAAGACGGCATAAAGTGATGTTAATTATTAATTAAAGAGAGCATCGTGGCTCAGCGGGAGAGATCGGTCCCCGGCCACTGCTAGGAATTTTGTTCTATTTTATTATTTTGCATTATTATTATTGTTGTTGTTGTTGTTATTGCTATTATTTTTATTATTATTGTTGTTATTATTGCTATTATTATTATTATTATTGTTATTTTTAGGGGTTCTTATCCCCTGCCAATACTGAAAATTCCATAATATTTATTATTATATTATTATTATTATTATTATTATTATTATTGTTGTTGTTGTTGTTGTTATTGTTATTATTACTATCATTATTATTAATATTATTATTATTATTTCAATTATTGTTATTATTATTATTATTATTATTATTATTATTATTATCGTTTTAGCGGGGTGTTCGTATTGTCATCATCCTTATGAAATTGTTAGTATTAATGATTTGTATAATTATCCTTAATCATTAATTGATTATCGCTATTATTGTTATTATCATCATTATATCATTCTTCATCGTTATTACTATTATTTCCCCCCAAAAAATACTGGTATCATTACAATTACTAATAATAATTATAATAATAATAAATTATAATAATATAACTATAATAATAATTACCTAATAATCATTACTTTTTTATTCTCTCTCTCTCTCTCTCTCTCTCTCTCTCTCTCTCTCTCTTAACCTATTAATTTAATTAATCTATTATGTCTATCTATTTATCTATTATAATTTTATTTACCATTTAGAGAGGAGGGGAAAAAAAAAAAAAAATGAAATGGAGAATGGGAAGAGAGACGAAAAGGTAAGAAAGAAAAAAAAGGATTATTATTACACACCATTATTACTAATTATTATTATAAAAAAGGATTATTATTACACCTTATTACGTGAACATCCCCCCATGAATCCCATCACCCACACCGTGAACTGCCCCCCATGAATCCCTGTGCCCCCATGAATCCCATCACCCACACCGTGAAGCGGTCGTATCTGTCCTGTGCCCCCCATGAATCCCTGTGCCCCCCATGAATCCCATCACCCACACCGTGAAGCGGTCGCATGTGTCCTGTGCCCCCATGAATCCCTGTCAATCACCATCACACACCGTGAAGCGTCGCATGTGTCCTGTGCCCCATGAATCCCATCACCCACACCGTGAAGCGGTCGCATGTCCTGTGTGCCCCCATGAATCCATCACCCACACGTGAAGCGTCCATGCCCCCATGAATATCACCCACACCGTGAAGCGGTCGCATGTGTCCTGTGCCCCCCATGAATCCCATCACCCACACCGTGAAGCGGTCGCATCCTGCCCCCATGTGTGCCCCCCATGAATGCCCCCATGAATCCCATCACCCACACCGTGAAGCGGTCGCGTGTGTCCTGTGCCCCATGAATCCCATCACCCACACCGTGAAGCGTCGTGTCCTGTGCCCCCCATGAATCCAATCATCACCCACACCGTGAAGCGGTCGCGTGTGTCCTGTGCCCCCCATGAATCCCATCACCCACACCGTGAAGCGGTCGCATGTGTCCTGTGCCCCCCATGAATCCCATCAATCACCCACACCGTGAAGCGGTCGCATGTGTCCTGTGCCCCCCATGAATCCCCAATAATCCATCACCCACACCGTGAAGCGGTCCGCTGCCCCCATGAATCCCTGTCATGATCCCATCACCCACACCGTGAAGCGGTCGCTGTCCTGTGCCCCCATGAATCCCATCACCCACACCGTGAAGCGGTCGCATGTGTCCTGTGCCCCCATGAATCCCATCCATCACCCACACCGTGAAGCGGTCGCTGTGTCCTGTGCCCCCATGAATCCATCATCACCCACACCGTGAAGCGGTCGCATGTGTCCTGTGCCCCCATGAATGCCCCATGAATCCATCACCCACACCGTGAAGCGGTCGCTGTCTGTCCTGTGCCCCCATGAATCCCATCAATCACCACACACCGTGAAGCTGTCGCGTGTGTCCTGTGCCCCCCATGAATCCATCAATCACCCACACCGTGAAGCGGTCGCGTGTGTCCTGTGCCCCCCATGATCCATCAATCAACCCACACCGTGAAGCGGTCGCGTGTGTCCTGTGCCCCCCATGAACTCCCATCATCCCACCACGTGAAGCCGGTGCATCTGTGTCCTGTGGCCCCCCATGAATCCCATCCCATCACCCACACCGTGAAGCGGTCGCATGTGTCCTGTGCCCCCCATGAATCCCTGTGCCCCCCATGAATCCCATCACCCCACCTGTTGAAAGCTGTGCATTAATGTCTGTCCCCCCATGAATCCCTGTTGCCCCCATAATCCCATCACCCACACCGTGAAGCGTCGCATATGTCCTGGTGCCCCCATGAATCCCATCACCCACACCGTGTGAAGCGGTCGCATGGTCCTGTGCCCCTGAATCCCCATCACCACACCGTGGGTCGCATGGTGTGCCCCCGATGAAATCCTTGCCCCCCATGAATTCCATCACCCACAATAAGCGGTCCCATGTCCTGCCCGCTCTCACCCACACCATGAAGCGGTTCGCATGTCCCCCATGAATCCTCCCCAATCACCCACACCCACCGTTGAAGCGGTCCTCGCATGTCCTGTGCCCCCCATGAATCCCTGTGCCCCCCATGAATCCCATCACCCACACCGTGAAGCGGTCGCATATGTCCTGTGCCCCCCCCCATAATTCCACATCACCCACACCGTGAAGCTGTCCGCATGTATGTCCTTGACTCCCCATGAATCCCTGTGCCCCCAATGAATCCCATCAAACATCCCACACCCGTGAAGCGGTCGCATGTGTCCTGTCGCCCCCCATGAATCCCTGTGCCCCCAATGAATCGCCATCAACCCACACCGTGAAGCGGTCGCATATGTCCTGTGCCCATTAATCCTGTGCCCCCATGAATCCCATCACCAACATTAAGCCGGTCGGCATATCAGTGCCCCCCCATGCAATCCATTCACCCACACCCCGTGAAAGACAGTTCGATGTGTTCCCTGTGCCCCCCTGAATCCCTGAGTGCCCCCATTGAATCCATCACCACACGTAAGCAGGTCGCATAATGTCCTTGCCCCCCATGCAATCCCTTGTGCTCCCCCCCATGAAATTCCCAATTCACCCAACACCGTGACAGCAGTCGCATACTTCCTTGCCCCCCAATAATCCATCACCCACACCGTGACAGCCGTCTGCATGTCCTGTGCCCCCACTGGATCCCCTGTGCCCCTAATAAATCCCATCACCACACCGTGAAGCGGTCGCTGTTCCTGCCTGTGCCCCCCCATGAATCGCCGTATCACCCACACGTGAAAGCAGCGGTTCGCATGATGTCTCCTAGTCCCCCATGAAATTCCCGCTCTGCCCCCCATTATGATCCCATCACCCACACTGGAATGCCGTTTCGCATTGTCCTGTGCCCCCGCATGAGCCAATCCCTCGTGCCACCCCAATGAATCCTCACCCACACCGCTGAAACGTCGCATGTGTCCTTTTGCCCCCCATGAATCCCTCAGTGCCCCCCAATAGAATTCATCACCCCACACCGTTTTGAAGCCGTCTCGCAATATATCCTGTGCCCCCCAATGATCATCCCATTTCACCCACACCGTGAAGCTGTTGCCATATGTCTTGGCCCCCAGGAATTCCCACTTCTACCCACACGTGCGAGTTCGCATATGTCCTGTGCCCCCCATGCAATCCCTTTTGCCCCCCGCATTCGCAATTTCCCATCACCCACACTGAAGCGGTCGGCATATGTCTGTGCCCCCGCATGATACCAATCACCCACACCGTGAAGCATGTCGATGCTGTCCCTGTGCCCCATCGTGAATCCTCTCGTGCCCCCATGAATCCATTCACCCACACCGTGAAGCGTCGCTTCTTTTTCCTGTGCCCCCCATGAATCCCTGTGCCCCCCATTTAGATCCCATCACCACAACCCGGTTGAATACGGTCGCATATGTCCAGTTGCCCCCCATGAATCCCATTCACCCTACACCGTGAAGCTGGTCGGTTGTCCTTGCCCCCATGAATCCCATTCAATCACCCACACCGTGAAGCTAGTCGCTGTCTTCCTGTTGCCCCCCATTATGTTAATCCATCCCCACACGTGAAGGGTCGCGTCTGTCCTGGCCCCCCATTGATCCACATCACCCACACCGTGAAGGTCCGCATATGTCCTGTGCCCCCCATTAATCCTTCACCCACACCGTTGAAGCCTGGTTCGCATATCTTTGCGGCCCCACATGAATCCCATCCCACACCGTGAATGCGGCTGCGCACATATGTCCTGTCCCCCTAAACTGAAATCCCATCACCCTACAACGTGAATCGTTCCGCATGTGTCTTCGCCCCCCAATGATCCCTTTATGTATCACCCCTATATAACTACTTATATTAATGATAATATCCATCACCTCACACCGTGAAAGCTGGTTCGCATATTCCGTGCACACACCCCTTATGTAATAATATCCCATATGTCTCACACACCATGATCCCATATCACATACATCACCCAACGTGAAAGCGTGATCGTCATGAGTTATCAGTCCTATGACCACCCACATAATGAATCACTCATCAGTTACTAACCCATCTAACTACTTAAATTACATAAGTGAGAGGATTCAGCGTCAAATGACCTATGTCCCATATGTAATCCCGAATCACATAAGTCACCCACACCGTGTGAAGCACACACGGTATATACGTCATTGTTCTCAGTTACGCCCCTAGAATACACCAATACAGTTCAATTTACCGCTAAACGGTCCGTCTTCCTGATGCCCCCCATGAAATTCACAATCAAGGTCACCCACACCGTAATGAAGCGGTCGCGTTCTGTTCCTGTTGCCCCCCATGAATCCATCAGTCACCCACACCGTGAAGCAGGTCGCATGATGTCCTGTGCCCCCATGAATCCCATCAGTCACCCACACCGTGAAGCGTCGGTCATGTCCTGTGCCCCCCATGAATCCCATCATCACCCACACCGTGAAGCGGTCGCGTGTGTCCTGTGCCCCCCATGAATCCCATCATCACCCACACGTGAAGCGGTCGCGTGTGTCCTGTGCCCCCCATGAATCCATCATCACCCACACCGTGAAGCGGTCGCATGTGTCCTGTGCCCCCCATGAATCCCATCATCACCCACACCGTGAAGCGGTCGCATGTGTCCTGTGCCCCCATGAATCCCATCATCACCCACACCGTGAAGCGGTCGCATGTCCTGTGCCCCCCATGAATCCCATCAATCACCCACACCGTGAAGCGGTCTGTCCTGTGCCCCCATGAATCCCATCATCACCCACACCGTGAAGCGGTCGCGTGTCCTGTGCCCCCATGAATCCCATCATCACCCACACCGTGAAGCGGTCGCGTGTGTCCTGTGCCCCCCATGAATCCCATCAATCACCCACACCGTGAAGCGGTCGCATGTGTCCTGTGCCCCCCATGAATCCCATCAATCACCCACACCGTGAAGCGGTCGCATGTGTCCTGTCCCCCCATGAATCCCATCATCACCCACACCGTGAAGCGGTCGCATGTGTCCTGTGCCCCCCATGAATCCCATCAATCACCCACACCGTGAAGCGGTCGCATGTGTCCTGTGCCCCCCATGAATCCCATCACCCACACCGTGAAGCGGTCGCATGTGTCCTGTGCCCCCCATGAATCCCATCACCCACCGTGAAGCGTCGCATGTGTCCTGTGCCCCCATGAATCCCATCAATCACCCACACCGTGAAGCGGTCGCATGTGTCCTGTGCCCCCATGAATCCCATCAATCACCACACCGTGAAGCGGTCGCATGTGTCCTGTGCCCCCATGAATCCCATCAATCACCCACACCGTGAAGCGGTCGCATGTGTCCTGTGCCCCATGAATCCCATCAATCACCCACACCGTGAAGCGGTCGCATGTGTCCTGTGCCCCCCATGAATCCCATCAATCACCCACACCGTGAAGCGGTCGCATGTGTCCTGTGCCCCCATGAATCCCATCAATCACCCACACCGTGAAGCGGTCGCATGTGTCCTGTGCCCCCCATGAATCCCATCAATCACCCACACCGTGAAGCGGTCGCATGTGTCCTGTGCCCCCATGAATCCCATCACCCACACCGTGAAGCGGTCGCATGTGTCCTGTGCCCCCCATGAATCCCATCAATCACCCACACCGTGAAGCGGTCGCATGTGTCCTGTGCCCCCATGAATCCCATCATCACCCACACCGTGAAGCGGTCGCATGTGTCCTGTGCCCCCCATGAATCCCATCATCACCCACACCGTGAAGCGGTCGCATGTGTCCTGTGCCCCCCATGAATCCCATCAATCACCCACACGTGAAGCGGTCGCATGTGTCCTGTGCCCCCCATGAATCCCATCAATCACCCACACCGTGAAGCGGTCGCATGTGTCCTGTGCCCCCCATGAATCCCATCAATCACCACACCGTGAAGCGGTCGCATGTGTCCTGTGCCCCCCATGAATCCCATCAATCACCCACACCGTGAAGCGGTCGCATGTGTCCTGTGCCCCCCATGAATCCCATCAATCACCCACACCGTGAAGCGGTCGCATGTGTCCTGTGCCCCCATGAATCCCATCAATCACCCACACCGTGAAGCGGTCGCATGTGTCCTGTGCCCCCCATGAATCCCATCAATCACCCACACCGTGAAGCGGTCGCATGTGTCCTGTGCCCCCATGAATCCCATCAATCACCCACACCGTGAAGCGGTCGCATGTGTCCTGTGCCCCCCATGAATCCCATCATCACCCACACCGTGAAGCGGTCGCATGTGTCCTGTGCCCCCATGAATCCCATCCCCACACCGTGAAGCGGTCGCATGTGTCCTGCCCCCATGAATCCCATCAATCACCCACACCGTGAAGCGGTCGCATGTGTCCTGTGCCCCCCATGAATCCATCAATCACCCACACCGTGAAGCGGTCGCATGTGTCCTGTGCCCCCCATGAATCCATCAATCACCCACACCGTGAAGCGGTCGCATGTGTCCTGTGCCCCCCATGAATCCCATCAATCACCCACACCGTGAAGCGGTCGCATGTGTCCTGTGCCCCCATGAATCCCATCAATCACCACACCGTGAAGCGGTCGCATGTGTCCTGTGCCCCCATGAATCCCATCAATCACCCACACCGTGAAGCGGTCGCATGTGTCCTGTGCCCCCATGAATCCCATCAATCACCACACCGTGAAGCGGTCGCATGCCCCCCATGAATCCATCAATCACCCACACCCGTGAAGCGGTCGCATGTGTCCTGTGCCCCCCATGAATCCCATCAATCACCCACACCGTGAAGCGGTCGCATGTGTCCTGTGCCCCCCATGAATCCCATCAATCACCCACACCGTGAAGCGGTCGCATGTGTCCTGTGCCCCCCATGAATCCCATCAATCACCCACACCGTGAAGCGGGTCGCATGTGTCCTGTCCCCCCATGAATCCCATCAATCACCCACACCGTGAAGCGGTCGCATGTGTCCTGCCCC